GGTGTGGTCCAGCTGCTGGAGTGGCTTGAGCTCCCCAACAACATCGTGATGGTGCTGGAGCGCCCAGAGCACTCTCAGGACCTGCAGCATTTCATTGGGGCACAGGAGTTCCTGCCTGAGGAGGAGGCGCAGGAGCTGTTCCGCCAGGTGCTGCAGGCCGTGTGGCACTGCACCAGCTGCGGAGTCCTGCACAGGGACATCAAACCAGAGAACATCCTGCTTGACCTGGCCACTGGGCAGGCCAAACTGATTGACTTTGGCTATGGCACCTACCTTCAAGAGTCAGCCTACACTCACTTTGCAGGTGAGCCCACGCAGGGCTGTGCTCCTGGTCCCGGCATGTCATGGGTCAAGATCTCACAGTCCAAGCTGGGTGTGGCAGCAGGGATTCTCCCTTTTGCTGCCCTTTATGGCACTGAGATTTCAGCCGAGTTTCTTTTGAGCAGGGCTGGGTGGGGAGCCAGCTTCCAGCCCTGCCGGCAGCCTTTGCCCACCACTCTGCCCAGGACTGTGGCTGGGGCTGGGGCAGCCAGCCTGACCAAAACCCCCGTGGGTGGGGGTAGCAGAGAGGGGGGCCAGAACCTGCGCCCCAGCCAGTTTGGTGTGCAGGTGAGAAAGAGCTTGGACTGCTCCACTCACCTGGTTTGCTTTGAGTTCATAATGTTTTTTTGGGGCAATGCAGGCAGGGAGGATGAGAGCATGGTTTTTTTCCCCAGCACTGAGTGGGTTCTTCCTTGTCATGGTTGGGTCTTACCAGGGTTTCCACTGCCCTCTTCCAGCACCAGCAGCTTCTTTCCCAACCCCAAGACTGTATACAAGTCCCAGGTGCTGGTGAGAGGGCAGTGGGTCACCTCGTGTGCCACTGGGGCAGCCCCTGAACACCCAGGGATGCTGGGGCCAAAGTCTGGGAGCAGCACCATCCCCCGATGAACTCCATCTGTATTCCATAGGAACACGGTCATACAGCCCCCCGGAATGGACCCACTTTGGCCGGTACTATGGCAAGCCAGCAACCATCTGGTCCCTGGGCATCCTGCTGCACCAGATGGTCTGCGGGGAGCACCCTTTCAGGAGGGGCCAGAACATCAGCTGGGACCATCAGCTCTCGCTGCCACAAAGGCTCTCTCAAGGTGGATCCTCATCTCTGGGCACGGGGGGAATCCCAGTGCTGGGAGACAGCAGCGGGCTCGTGGGCATCCTGCACTGGCAGCTGCTGAGGAGGTGGCACATGTCCTGCTCTCCTCCAAAACAGGGAATTGATGGGAGAGTTTAGGCCCAGCTCTGAGCACATCCAGCATGGCCTGGGCATGGGAATAGTGGGGCAAAGCCAACAGGAGCCTTCTCCAACTGCCTGGCGGTTTCTGGTTTCTCTGCCAAGAGTGCCAAGATCTGATCAGGCGGTGTTTATCCATGCTGGATTTGGAAAGGCCCCCATTAGAGGAGCTGTTCTGTCATCCTTGGATGCAGGATTTTCATCTGCCCTAGAAGAAGGGAGAGAGCCACAGGCACACTTTGATCCAGGGCGCTGGTAAGTTACAGCTGCACACATGACTTGGCAATGAGAAGCAAAGGAACCCAGATCTTTTTGTGCTGCCTGTGTCACTGCCCAGGACTCATCAGATGGGAACACACAGCCCTTGTGCTGGAGCTGAGCTGCTCTGCCCAGCACTGGTGGCCACCATCCCAGCTGGTTTTGCTTGTCCTGATTCCCTGACAGCTGGGGCCCTGGGCAGAGCCCTGAGAGCCTGGTCTGCCCCCAGGGAAGGAGAAGCAGCCCCTGGAGAAGCTGTACCGGGTGGGGCTGCTGCTGCTGGGGACAGTGAGGACGACATCAAGGATGACAAGCTCTTCCTCAGCCTGGCCACAGGCCCGCTGAAGATGATGGACTTTGATTCTGGCACCCTCTTGAAAGCCAGGCTCCACAGAGAATTTGCAGATGAGTCCACATGCAGGGGGATGCTCCCAGATTTGGGCATTGCACAGCCTGGCCGGGAACCAAAG